GCCTTATTTAGAGATCTTTACAGAGGTGATCATGTTAAAATGAGGACATCAGGGTGGGCCCAGATCCAGTAGGACTAGGGGCACTCGGAGACATACACATGCAGAACATCGCGTGAACCTGAAGGCAGAGACTGGTGATTCTTCTACAGGCCAAGGACCGCCAAGGACAGCCAGCACACACCACAAGCTGGGAGAGGCCTGGAGCAGACTCTCCCTCATGGTCTCAGAGGTAACCAGCCCTGCCCACACCTTGGTCTCAGACTTCTGGCTACAAAACTGAGAGAGAATAATACTGTGCTTATGTAGCCCATCCCTGGTACTTGGTCATGTGGGACAAGCAAACCAGTCATCTTAAAATCCTGAGGCCCCCCTCACAGTCCCTCCCACATGCTCTGCAGCTACAGCTGGTCCACAACAGACAGTGAGCGACTGCGTGGGTGGATGGGGCGATGCTCGTGCTCCGCCTGCATCCATCTAGTGCTCTGTGCGCCTGTGCGGGTAATCAACTTACAGCAAAGTTCCAAGCATTTGAAGGTTGCTGTTTAATCAGGATTAATCAGCTCGTAATCATACTGGTTCTACCCTCTAACAGTGCAGAAACCGGGGGACGATGACACACGGGCCTGCAGCTCTGAGTTCTCTCTGTCGCCCTGGTCCCAGGTCGCTCCGCTCTAAGAGCACCCCCTCCCCAGGTGGTTTATCATTTATCTCAATTCCTGGTTCTGAGCAAGAGGTGTGGCGGGGCGGAGGGCTCCTGGCGCAGGGCTATTCCCTTTCCTGGCCTGGGTGTGGGTTAGATGAGTGTGGTCACCCGTGGGCACTCCTTGGAGCCACACGCTGGCGCTGGTGCACTCAGTATGTATCGCACACCACCTCTCTCCACGTGTCCCAGTCACTGCTCCTTCCTTTCTTGTGCTCTATTGGTTTGGGTCACAGTTGCACCCTTGCTGGGCTTGCATCCCTGCCTGGTGCTTTTTGCTCAGTGTGCATGTGTTTTTAATACATATCTGAACTCCTGGGTTCGGCCCTGAGTTCCCCTGATTAAAGGGCAGTCATTTCCTTGATGGCCATTTATTTCATCGACACAGTTGATAAAAGTCCCATCACCGATTACTTCTCTTTCTGGAAACCTGTGTTGATGAGCCTGTGTGAGGAGAGACAGACTGGGTGATAGTCACTGGTGTGCACAATCAAAGTGGCACGTCACCATCTCCTGAAATCTCTGTCACTTCCCCAAGTGCTATGGACTGTATACCCTGTCCCCCCACGTCCATATGTTGAATCCTCACACCTAATGCAATGGTGCTAGGAGGTGGGCCTTTGGGAAGTGATTGGGTCATAAAGGTAGAACCCACCATGATGAAACTGGTGCCCTCATTAAAAGAGGCCCCTTCACTCTCCTCCATGGGAGGTCACAGCAGGAAGGAGATGTCTGTGAGCCAGGAAGTGGGTCCTCACCAGAGACACAGTATGCCCCTGCCTTAATCTTGGACTTCCAATCCCCAGAACTGTGACAAAGAAATGTCTGTTGTTTCTGTCACCCTGTCAGTGGCATTTTTGTTATAGCAGCTGGAGCAGACTGATACACCAAGTCCTGGGTTCTTGCTGCTTGATTCTAATCATCCTGGCAGGGTAGTTTCTTGGCACTGCAGCTGGGTACCAGCTCTGTTTTGAGCACCAGCCAGGTGGTCAAGAAGCTGTGGATAAGGTAGCGATGCTGGTCTCCAGGTGGGAGCAGGAGTGAGTAAAGGACATGCCACTGAGAATGTCAGGTGTGACAAAAGGACACTGCTTCCTGACACTTCTGAGCGGCAACTTGCAGTCCAGACAAAATGGATAGCCTGGACCTTGTGTGGACGTCCACTACCACAAGTGCACAGTGGGAAAATCAAAGAACACAAGCCAGGACGGTTAATGTCTGGGATTTGGGCCACCCAGCCAGCGTGATGCCAGAAGCTATGGCTCACCTTGCAGCCATTCTGCACCTGGGAGACCTGGACTTTGTTTGGTGTCCTGAGGTCTTCATTCCTCCACATCATGATGTGAAGTCTTGTCAAGAAGTTTCGGATTCTGTTCGGTCCCCAGACCTGGTGCCACTACGGACCACCAGGCCATCTGGGGAAATCTGTTTATGATGGGAGCTTAATTCGAGCTCCTTCTTGCCAACTGATGCGTTGCACACAGGCCAGCCGCCAAGACGTCCCGCCCCTCGCTGGCCCTCTCCAGGGCAGTGCGGGCCACAGAAGGACCCGCACCTCTGCAACAGGACCTGGGCAACTACCCAGTACCTCGGGGCCGGGAGGCCCGGGAGCTTGGCCACGGCCACCGGTCAGAGCAGGGCAGAGGTCGCCACGGCTGAGCTGGGGGCACAGACAGGACACCACCTGCAGGGAACTCGGTGGGAGAGGTCCCCACGGCGCCCGACCTCGAAAGGGACGGCCGCAAGGGAGGAGTTCGTGGAGCTGGGCGGTTGGAGAGAAGGGTCGGTGTAGCATCTGGGTGAGGGCCTCGCAGCAACTGCGGGGGTGGGACGGGAGAGGGAGGGCACGGCGTTGGTCCGGCTCCGCTCGGCGGGTTCCCTGCTCCCTCCCGCCAGCGTGTGCCTCTCCTACGCGGCGCTGGGTGGGCGGCGGAAGCCCCCCAAGCAGACGTTGGTGCGCAGGACAGCTTCAGGGGACTGCAGGTGAGGGTGGAGGGAGACCTAGACTGGCCCCGCAGGGGCACAGCTCATCCCGATTCTGCCACGCCTCGGACCCACAGGTGTTCCCGCTCCCAAGCATCCGAGGTTCCCGGACGCGCAGGACCTGTGGCAGTGTTCTACCGACCCTGGACTGTTGGCCGCCGGCTTCTGCCCACCATCTGGGTCCCGGGGGGGCGGGTGCAGGGCGCGGCTGGCCTCGTCCCCCGCCCACCCTGGGCGGTGCGGAAGCAGAGCCAGACTGGCTTGCGCCCCCGACGGCGCCGGGGCGGGGCGGGCCAGGCGACGTGATAAGAGCCCGGAGGCCGAGACCGCCCACCGCAGCGGGACCGAGCCCAAGCTTTGGCGGACGCTGCGCGCAGGACACCAGAGGAGAGCCGAGGCGGGGAAAGGCAGGTAAGACTAGGGCATTCCGTGGGCGACTTCCTGCACAGGCGTCCCCACACATCTTCGGGGCTCGCAGTTTGCTCCGTGGACCCCGAAGGCTGCAGCCTGGGAGCACAGCGCTGAGACAGGCACCATCAGGCGGTGCCGCGTCCCTCAGACGACAGTCTCCAAAAGTTGCTCACAGCCCCGGGTGCACAGGGCGCCCCGACAGACAGTGCCATTGGAGACCTTAAGGCAATGGGTGGCTGAAATATGCGTGCACGAGAGGGCATGTCGTGTTAATGCGCACCCCCCGTGGCCCCTGGTCCGGGTCCTGCAGGTGGAGCGCCTTGTCCTACGGGCGCGCCCGGTTCCAGGGGTCGCGCGAAGGGGCGGTTCCCTGCGGCGCCAGGACTGGGGCGCACAGCTGTTTGTGACTGATTCCTGCGTGTGGAACCAGACGCGGTGCAGGGTGAAGGGGACCTGGCCAGAGCCGCCCCGGATCCGATCCGGGTGATTTTCTCAGCCAGTGCTCCACCGCACAGGGGTTTATCTTTGATTTTGAAGGTGAGAGTGGGCGCGCGGAGCTGCGGGCTCTGCCTTTCCAGGCTCATTACAGGGAGAGAGGAGCAAACCACAGTTCATGAGCCAGCTGTGTTCTTTTAAGAGACAAAATTTTGCGTTCTTTACCCAAAACTGGCCTCCAAGGCCACTGCTCCAAGAGCGTGTCAGCTCACCCCAAATGCTGGGTGTGGGATTCCCTGGCAGGTGGCCAGACGGGACTGCAAGGACGCTTGTGGGGGGGGGGGGGAAAGGCTGGAATTTGCTGCCTCTACATCTTCACCGAATCAACTGCACCCCACGGAAGGTCAGTCTCTCCTGTTCCCTAGAGAATGCAGCCCCCCTTAGCATGTTTTTCATAATCTCAGGGATGTGCTGTTGGGTCACCAGACGTGAAGGGGCCACAGAGAGCTGGTGCATAAAATAACTTAAGTTGTGAGTTTTCGTTCAAACTTGGACACAGTGGAAAATATTTCCATTAAGCTGCCCTCCTGCTATGCTTCTGCTTCAACCTCTGTGTGTGTGCGTGAGCGTGTATGCACGAGTAGATGTGAACTGGTGAAACAATGCTTCGGATCAAATGCCAGAAGTCCAATTTGAAACTGCTCTTGGACCCGAGGGCACAGCTTGCTCCTGGCTGTTACTGTGGAATTTCTTCTGTTCCCCCTGATGATATTGCCCAGGGTTTATGGAAGTGATTTGGAAATGAGCTCCCTGGTAAAGCCGTTAAGTGTAGGAGCTTGCGGTCCCTCGGGTAAATCCTGACGTGATGCTCTCCCCTATGCCGACTCTTGCAGGTGACGCTGGGGAGCCACCAGGCCACGGGTATATGTAGATCATATGTGCATTCCTTGAAGAGATTGTTATAATTGTTACTTAAAGCTTTAATTGCTGTGGCTGATTTTGATTATAGTGGAAAGAATAGATGAGCACCCTTGTAAAGACTTACTGTTGGGTGCTATTTGAAGGCAGTAAATTATTCCCCGCTGTGTGGGGGTATGGCAGAGGTAACCGTTTGCATTATCGTAAAAGCAAAATTAGAGATTACACCAGCACTGCACTTTCACTGGAATAGAGAGAAGAGCAGGAGAAGGGGGCAAAGCAGATGCCTATCCTGAAGTTTCCAGAGCTTGTCCCCCACAACCTTCAGGAGAAATAACTCATCTGTCGTCCTCAGTCCTGGCCATGTCATCTTAGCTGCTTGGAATGTTTTTGTTCTGCCCCAAAGAAATGAATGTAAATGCTTTGGAACTCTGCTCTTGCCACTGTAGTTTTGGCTGCTAACTCACTGCGTTCCTGTGTGTGTTTATTTTTCACGCTGGCTGATGACCAAGAGGGAAGAAGTATAGAAGTCTAGATTCCATCCAGTCTGCCCATGAGTAGAAGCAAATGCCCAGCGGGACTGATGCCTTCAGTGGTGGCCCCAGCTAAGGAGCCTAACGCCACATGCCCGAAGGCGGTGGAACTTGTCTTGGTCAAGGAGCAGAATGGGGTGCAGCTCACCAACTCCACCCTCGTCAGCTCCCCACAGACCCCCGTGGAGACCCAGGAACGGGAGACGTGGAGCAAGAAGATAGACTTCCTCCTCTCAGTGATTGGCTTCGCAGTGGACCTGGCCAATGTCTGGCGATTTCCTTACCTATGCTACAAAAATGGCGGCGGTGAGTCCCTGCCTGCCCTCCCTGCTGGGCTAGAATCGGGGCAGCAGGGGCAGGGCTTTTGAGAAACGAGCACTCTCTGGCAACACGGCAGTTTTGTAACGTAGCATTAGCCAGCCACAGATTCTCCACGTGTATGTCACAGAACCATAGAAGTAGAGTTCAGATCAATCTCACCCTGTGCCAGGACTTCACAGTTGAAGGCAGTGAGGCCCGGAGAGCAGGAAGCAGAAGTTAGCGGTTAGAGGCACCATGGCTCTGCCTTCTGTTTCCAAAGGTGTTTTTCACTTTGGAAAGAAAAGGCCCACAGAAGGGTATCTCTGGCTAACTTAAAACAGTATTTACAAAGTGAAGCCCTTGAGCTTCGAGTAGTGAGAGGAAGATGCCCTGTAAAGTTGCCCTTTCCCTACCCCCTGCTCCTATCACTCCCTGAACTCAGCCAGTCCTAGAACCAAGACTGTCTCAGGACTCAGGGCAGAAAACTAAGATAAAGGGGATAATCACCCCAAAAATTCAAGTTGAGAATCCAGGTAAGCTGGAGCTCATGCCCACCCTCCTGGTGTCTCTATTTCCCTGACAGCCTCCCTGAATCACTGGCCACACCACAGCACCCAGATGGGGGCTTGGGAAGACATTCCTGGGGAGGGCCTGCCCGCCTGCCCCTCGGTAGGTTGGCATTACTCTGCCCAGACTGAGGGGAGAGACCAAGGCCTCAGCGGCACAGTAAGTTGCCCAAGGACAGGCAGTCGTAGGGTCTCCCTGCCTCCCTCCCCACTCCAGGAAGAGGGCCATGGCGAAGCTCCCTCTCATTTGAGACAGAGCTTTAGGAAGCAGAGCTCTGGGGTCCTGAACTTTGTGCTTAGCACAGCATGGAGCTCCACAAGGAACAAGGCATCTCCTTGGAGGGACCACAGTCCCTGATTGAGACAGGTTTCAAATACTGGAAGCTGACCTTGATGACAGAATCCACACAGGGTTAGAGGTGGCCCACAGATCCCAGAAGAGTCACAACTCAAGAGGGGAAGACATTCCACAGAGGAGCAAGAGGAGGCAAAGACAGGGAAGGAGCCGCAGTGCAGACAGGGCCTTGTCTGCTGTCTTTTTCGGAGGTTGATGCCATAACCTCGGGTTGGGACTTTGGGGGTTCGGTAGAGATGGGCTTGTTTTGAAAGCTTTAGAAGGGTTCGGAGCACTGATGACACAGTGGGACTAGACGTGGAGGGAGGAGACTCACCCATCCCGGCCTGTGGCTTCCCTTTGGAACAGGGTCAGGCAGGAAGCTTCAGGAGAAACAAGGACAGGGATTGGGGTCAGGGCAAAACGCATGCAGTTGAAGGAGATAGCTGAGACTTTGAAGCCCTCGGTGACCATGTTGTCATGCTCCACAGGTGCCTTCCTGGTCCCCTACCTGCTCTTTATGGTCATTGCGGGGATGCCACTTTTCTACATGGAGCTGGCCCTCGGGCAGTTCAACAGGGAGGGCGCTGCCGGCGTCTGGAAGATCTGTCCCATACTCAAAGGTAACAGTAGGGACACCTCCTCACACCTCCCATGGCACAGACCAAGGCTGCAGCTCTAGAGCTTTTAAAGCAAGTCCACCAAGCTGTGCTTTGCTAGGTATCTATGTGCACGAACACACCATCTGAATTTTGGTTCTACTCTAAAGATCTGTAATGGCTAAGAATTTGAGAGTGTATTTCCTTCCTTCTGGATGAAGCCACCTGCAATTAAATTCATTAGTGGTGTTATTTTGTCCAGTGTTAAAATAATAAATAAGGTAAGACCTTTATCTATCCATTGGTCAGCTATCTATCTATTTATCTAGCTATCACCTATGTATCTATCCATCAATCTATCTAGCAATCATCTACCTATTTGTCCATTTATATATCATTTATGTATCATCCATCTATCAAGTATCATCTGTCAACCATCTATCATCTATCTATCTACCTACGTATTTATCATATATGTACATATATTTATCTATCATCTATTAAAGTCAACTGAACATAAGTAAAATCAGGGGCTTTGGCTAGAAATAAATGATAAAGATTTATTCAAGGGTCTTAGGGTTTACAAATTAGAAACACAACTAGGCAATACCCGAAGTGTTCCAAAGGAGAAAGAAAAGCTGAGGCTTGTTATAGTAAAATGTATACTCTTGAGAAGAATCAGTCCTGCATTCTCAGCGTTTAGATTGGTCTGAGATAGTAGTCTTCTAAGTTGACCAGTGGTCTGGACCCTGGATGTCAGGTGGTCTGGATACCTTTCCCTAGTCCTTCAGTGGGCAATCAGGGTTATTAGGAGATTTTATGTATATCTGGGCATTGATTCATGACAGGAAAGTTCAAAGGTTTAAGTTCCCAGGCTACTTAACACAGGAACAGAATTGTTTTCCTCATGCCTCAACCTACTTGACTTTATTAATTTAGCAGCTCGACTCTCTACCTACCTATCTATATCTATCATCTATCTATCAGAACTACCATTATCTGTCATTTATCTATAATCTACCTACCTGTCTAGTTACTCACTGAGCCTTCCAGGCTGCTACTGAGTTGCCACAACACCATGAAGCAAACACACCTCGAGCTGAGTGCAGGTGACCAACCCTCTCATGGTCACCTCCCTCCATCTTCATGAGAGCCCCGAGGAGGGCACACCCTATCTTGTCTCCATCTTGGAGAGGCAGGCACTGAGAGCAGAGGGCTTGAGTAGCTAGCCCTTGTCACCTTGTCAAGGGCAGGGTAAGATTCAATCCCAGACCTGTCTGACCCTAGACTGGGCCAACACGGAGTGATGGCTCAGAGGATTTGAAGATATTTCCTCAACAAGACCAGAGGAGGTGCATAGTTCAGACAGCTGGTTTCATTAAGAAAATGGCTCTTAAAAGCTCAGGCTTTGAGTTTTCTCAGAAGTTCTTGACAAGTTGGTGTTTGAGGAGAGCAGAAGCCTCAGGGTGTCTCCAAGGACACTGCATGGAGAGTCAGTGGGTGTGTGCTCAGACAGAAACTGATCCAGCCTCAGGAGGGAGGTCATCGCACAGCGGCCAAGGCCGGTCTCCGTTGGGGGAGGTCACTCACACAGGAGAAATGCTGAGACGGGACGGGCATGACAATGCCTCCAGGCTCTGTGTGTTATTCCGGCTTAATGGTCTGCTGGGCAATTCTTGAGATGTTAGCAATTTTTTCTGAAGCTAAATAATTCGTGGGCCCACCCTAAAGAGAACTGCAGAGCAAGATTCAGACACCTCTGGATTCAGGCGCCAGGTACTGGGTGTTCCTCTGTGCAATTTGCACACAGATGTCAAAGCTCAAAGGAGTTGCCTGAGACTCGCCTCTGGTACCATCATTAATTCCCTGGTGGAGAAATATGTAGGTACTTGAAGATAACAGGCACCTATTGGTGACAGATGCAGGGATCGACTCTGACGTTTCAGCATCTGTGTACTGACACAATGTTGGTGCTACTGAAAGCTGTAACCCCAAGCTAACGGACAAGACACAAACGAGTTAATCGTGTTCTCCCGGGCTCTGTGGGGCAGTCACGTGGTCGTGCACTGCAATGAGCTTTCACTGTGGTCAGTATTTATAGAGCATTAAAGCACTGAGTCAGAAATTAAGCATATCTATCCTCAAGTGACCATCTGGGGAAATGTTGAGGAAAGATGCCTCCAGCTGTGACACAGCCTATGATGACACCACTTTGCATCTCTGGATTTCCAAGAGGCACATCTTTCCAGTCCAAAGTATGGCTGCCAGAAGTTTTTTACATGACACGACTCTGTGCCCCCACCTCCCACTAGGGAGTCTGACACTGAATCAAAGTAAATCTGCCTCTTTCCTGAGCACCCCATGTGTGGGTGAGGGACTGCAGAAGAGGAAAAGGACAGTGGCCCCACGGGGCTGGAGGCCAGCAGGTGGACACGGATTTCCAGCTGTTTCCTGCCACACAAAGAGTTTTCTCCAGCAAAGCTGCCAAAGTGACTTGTTATACTGCAGCTTACAAAATGTCAAATGCTTTCCAAGGATTTCAAAGTGCTGCTTAATCCTAATGAACTGGAGTCAATACAGGAAATAAGACCATCAGCACCTCGTTCTAGAGAAACTCGGAGCACAGATGTTGCCACATCCCAGCAATATCAGAACCTGGAGGAGAAGTCAGCAGACATCATGCACCTCTGTAACTGACTCCAAGTCCCCGCCTCATAGTCACATTCTGGCAGCTCACGTCAGCTTTGGTCCAGTTTTGGAAACTCATTCATGCGGAAGGCTGAGCTGGGGTGAATGAGGCCACAGCAAGAAGCGCTGTGTGGCCCCTGTGGGTGGAATCTCAGTCAGAGCCTGGTCATTCACTTCATAACCTGGGACTGAGGAAATCACAAACCACAGAAAGGCAGCTATCCAGCTGGGCGTCTGTACAGTCCACACAGGGCTGTGCTCGCCGAGGATATAAACAAATCAGCACAAGAACACTACTAGCATTTCACATTCACAGAAGAAACAACTTAAATTGTTTAATGCCAACCTAGCTGCAACCCCCAACAGATGTTTTTCTACTTGTTCAGGTTCTATCTTACCCATATGATTCCCATTTGATAGGAGATAGTCATTGCTCCTTAAATTAGGTGAAGCAAACCATGCTTTTCTGGATATCCTGACACGCGTGTCTTCTCTTTCCTTCCTTGTCTTTAAAAAAAATCAATTAATAAAATTGCCTGTATTTTAATGTGTCATTACATATGGGTAATGCATGTGTAATGGTAAATAACACCAGTTTAAATGCCCCAAATAATCATTATAGAGCTAAAAGGTCATCCAGTTTTTCAGAGGACAATCGGCATGTCCGGGCCCTGTGGAGGCTTTCTCCTGTGTTTGGAGTGAGCTCTTGCACAGCCTGCTTCCCCCAGCCTTCCCTCCCTTACCTGGAAGCCACCCCCTGCACTGGACCTGCACTGAGCCGCACCTGAGAAAGTACAATGATGAAGTCCACAGTGAGGATAAGCTGCTTCAGGGGCTGGGCCTCATCCTCAGTTCCCTGTACCATCTTTCCAGAGTCCTGCAGGGTGGGCATGGGCTGGAAAGCTTGAAGGTGACCTTCAGCACCCAAATGTGTCCTCCCGGCATCCTGGAGGGAGGAAGCTCAGAACTATGCTTCTCTACTCCCTTCTTCCCTGTCCCCTTCTCTGTCATCTGAGCACACATGCACACACTTGCACACACATGCCAAGTAGATAATAAAGACACCCAAATTGAAAGAGGAGGAATTCTCTCCGGCTTACTTCAAGAAAAACCTGCTGATGAGTCTCAAGGAGTGGAAAGCAGCTCCACCAGGAAGCCTGTTCTCCAGCTGGTATTCCTGGAATTAGTATTTGCTTGTGACAGTCTCATTTAAGCCAGCTTTTGTGGACACTTTGGAGTGATCTGGCTTTGGAGGATGGTGGAGAAGTGTAACTGTCATGTTCTCCGGAGAACTGAGGAGGCTCCTTTGCAGGTTGTTTGACTAATTGCTGAAGACAAGCTCATTTTACATATGCTCTAGAAACACTGCCAACTTGTTGCATATAAAACAATTTATGGTATTTTGTGGTCAATAACATTTTAGTGTGATTTATCAAACTCTTCCTCTATTTAAAAAGAATTTAAGGTGGCTTAAAACAAAACAAAATGCACACAAGCTTAGTATATAAATATACTAAGGAAAAAAAAGAAATTTAAGAAAATTGACATTAAGAACTCTGATTGAAATTCACATTTAGCCCTGAGCTTCCTGGGAGTAAGACAACAGAGGAACACATTTTCATTGGAAATATGAGAGGGAACCAAACCTGCCACCTCCTTAGCAGAGAGAGTTTCTCGTGGCAAGAAATGATGAAGAAAGTGTATCCAGTGTAGCTTCATTCATGTGATGTGATGATGTCATGAACAATGATCACACAAACATTGTTATAGTAAACAAAATGTGGGTTTCCTGTGGCTGGGTCTTAAGTGACATGGAGGAGGAACGTGGTGAAAGTCAGTTGGTAAGAGGCTACACTTCATTGTCCCAGGACTGTGGCTCTCTAAGGCTCTGCCATCCTAAGGGACAGAAATTGCGATGATCAAGCAAACAACTGACACCTGCAACTGCCTTTCTAGGGAGTCGTTTCCATCACGCAGGCCTTTATGGTCTCTGGACAGCAGCCCAAGAGACGCAGTACTCTAAAGTGAGGCCGAGCCCCAGTGCTGGTGCGCTCTGTTACCAACGGGGCAAGCCCATGTGCTCCTGTGGTGACTTTTTCACCCTGCTGTGAAGGTCAAGAAACCTGGCCTGGCCAGATGAAGGGCTGTCCCCACAGTGGTGGGCTCCAGAAGGACCAAAGGCAAAGTCAGCTCTTCCTTCAGACGCTGGACCTGGATCTGCTCTAGTGTTTGAGCAATGACTCCCTCCAGTTCCTAAAGTTTCAAGCTGAGGATTTGGTATGCAAAGTGTTAACATTAAAAGAATTTCAAGTCACACATCCACAGCAGTCCACTGCCGGGGAAAACCTCCAGTAATGTGCTTCATGAAAATGTGGCTTCCTGAGCACATGGCTTCCTGACCAACAGGAGGAGGCCTTCTAACCATGAGACCCATCTGCCCACCAGTCAGGACGACACAATGCCAAAAACTGCTCACCACTCTCTTCTGCCTCGTAATTGATCCCAAATTCCAGGTTTTGTGATCTCGGAAAGGCCCTGGGTGGCCCTAGGTGGCTCTGGATAGTCATGTATGCCCCTGGGAGACCCTAGATGGTCATGCACAGTCCTGGGTGACCTTGGGTGGCCCTAGGTAGCTATGAATGAACCTAGATGACCTTGTTTGCCCTGGGTAGTCTTGAGTAGCTATGAGTAGCCATGAATGACCCTGGGTGTCTCTGAGTGGCCCTGATGGGCATGGATGGCCATGGATGGTTGCAGATAGCCCTGTGTGACTCTGAATGGTCCCGAATTAATCCTGGTGGACCTGGATGGTCTTGGATGCCCTTGGTGGTCCTAGGTGAGCCTGTATAGCTATGGATGACCATGAGGGATCCTAGTTGTTCCTTAGTGACTACTGGTCACTGTGAATGGCTCTAGGTGTCCCTGGGTGGCTCTGAATCATGGAGTATTCCTGGGTGACTCTGGATGGCTTTTGATGACCCTATTGCCATCGATGGCCCAGAATGTTTCTGAGTGACCCTGAATGGTTTGGATGCCTTTGTTGACATTTGGTAATGTTTTGTATCTCTGAGTGTCCCTAGATGACCTTGGATGGCCATGGATGACAGAAGATGATTGTAATGGTTTTGCATGCCCTGGTGGTGCTGGATAACTCTGGGTATGATAGCCCAGGGTAACCAGGGGTGGCTCTAGATGACCTTGGGTGAGCCTGGATGATCCTGTTTGATCCTGAGTGGCAGTGGGGAGCCGCGGATGGCCCTTGGTTACCATATATGTCTGTGAGTGACCCAGTTCTACCTTGGTGGCCCTCGATGATCCTACATGTTCCTGGATGATTCTACATATCCTTGGGCTTACCAAGGTGGTCTGGCATACCCTCCAATGACACTGGATGGCCTTTTAGGTCTTGAATGCTCCTCAGGGATATTCTGAATGTCTCAAAGTGGACAGATATGGCTGTAGATGGTTTTGGAAAGGAGAAGCCCCTCTCTGTGATCACAGCATAAAATCTAGCACCTGCCCTTTCACTTCTCTTCCCTTGTGTATCTAAAGATGTTGCCTGATATTAGGATGATGGCAAACAGCTGGAACAGGATGGCAATGTCTCCTGTAAGGGAAGGTGGGAGGGGGCATTCTGTTGACAGTGGCTCTGTGCTCTCACCGCCCTAGGTGTGGGCTTCACAGTCATCCTGATCTCACTCTACGTTGGCTTCTTCTACAATGTCATCATTGCCTGGGCACTGCATTACTTCTTTTCCTCCTTCACCATGGAGCTGCCCTGGATCCACTGTAACAACACCTGGAACAGCCCCAACTGTACAGACGCCCACTCCGGCAATGCCAGTGATGGCTTGGGCCTCAATGACAGCTTCAGGACCACGCCCGCTGCCGAGTACTTTGAGTAAGTGGGGGGTCTGCTCCTTGGGGTTCAATGACTCTTTCCTTGCTGTGTCTGCCTTAGGAAAGGAAGGACACAGAGCTGGGCACTCTGTGGCAGCCCAGGGGTCAGCCACCCCCCAGTGCTGCCTCAAAAGGATGTGAAAAGACCCTATCCTTATCCTGTGCCCATGTTCTCTTCCCTTGGGTTCTTTTGAGGCAACATTAGCATGAGTCCTCAGCAAGGATGGAAGGCTGAGTAGGCCCATGAGTACTCTGCCCTGCTCCCTGTTCGGTGTGGGAGGAGGCCTGACGGGGACACCATTCACATTGTATAGATGAAAGGTGCTGGGGCCTGGGCCCTGGGGCTACAGTGTCACCTCCAGAGTGGTCTGAGCTCCAGGTTCTCATTTGCCTGTGCTTCCTCCACATTAGGCGAGGTCCAGCTCTCTCCAGAAAAGATACCTTCCTGGGCAGGTTCAACTTCAGCCTCACAAAACAGACCTGAACTACAGGTGCACTGCCTGTGCTTTTCATGAGATGCTCTTTTCTTCTTACAGTACTGTTTTTTTCTCATGAGCCTCTCTCAGTCCCCATATGCAGTGACCCTCTGGGTGTCCCACTCCTTGCCTCCCCTTGCCAAGCCTGGCCATCCATGTTGCACTCCAAGTGTCCCCCGCCACCTGCAAACCCGTCCCTCTTCTCAGATGTGTTCGCTGAATCCTCTCTGGCACTGAGCCAGCTCTTGGCTTTCCCTCCTTCCTCATGGCATGAGGCAGGGTTTGGAAGGTCTGCAGGGACTGCTCGAAGTACCAGATGTTTTCTTAGAGCATCGTTAGGGACATAGTGGTTTGGCATGGGGGTTGTGTGATGGGCTGTTTTTAGGAAGACACCCTTTTAGGTGGTTTGGGATTTGACAGAGTGAAAAGTGTCTGAGGAGGACAGGGAGAGAAGTCCCATGATGGGAAAGAAAGGTGCTTGCCAAGAACGTCCCATCCAGGAGGAGGGTGGCTCCAAGCCTGGGAGGTTGAGGGCTTTCTTCTCATGGAGCTCACAAGAGGGGTGAACTGGTGACCCAGAAAGTCTGCCTGGAATCTGTCCCTTTTGATTTGCCTGAAAGACATGGGGATGGGCATATCCTGGAGAAATGGAGACACAGGCAGTGTTACCTGAGTTTGTGCATAGGATTCAGTGTGACGAGCAACCAAGAAATGATAGAAGTGTCCAAATATAGAAAAGCAGAGCATTAAATAAAGTGATTTGTCTGTTCTTATGGGGGGAAAAAAACAGTGTTTGCCACTGGCCTGTTTATTACTTCGTTTCCCAAATGTCATGGTGTCTCATAAAGAGGCTGAGGCCAGAGGTGCCTGTGCTCTTGCCCATGTGGCCCCACTCCTGCGGTTGGAGAATAATGGAGAAAAGGAGTGCGGGACCTCTGCACACAGAGTAGCCATGCACAGGTGGCTGTGGCAAGAGCCTGGGAGTGTCCTAGTCAAGTCCTACAGCACACAAGGACATTCAAAGAGAGCTCGTGCTGGAGATGGGTTTAATTTATCATTTTGCCAACAAAATGGTGGCTCAGTGGTCAAGCTAGCATGTCTTTTACAACTTCAAGATGGATCTCAGTGCAACTTAGAACATCTGGAAAGCTTGCTGAGGATCAAAAGGTGCCTAGTGACACCATTTTAGAACTGCTTATCTTTTGTTTGACAGGTGTGGAAAGAGTTCATTTATCTAGGTGATTTTCAGATAAGGAAATTAGAGGGGAAAGAAACTGGTTACTCTAGTGATTTATGACTAAATCTAGTGATTTAACACTAGAGGGAAAGAGTATATGTGATACGTGATTTTTAAAAGTCAGACTCATGAAATCCATTTGAAAATCTATAGCCTGGGAGGTAGGGGGACTGATTAAAAAAAGTAAAAGAAAACAAAAAAGAACCTCATGGACAGAGAATAGTATGGTGATTACCAGAGGGAAAGGGGTGTGCGGGGAGGTAGAAGAGGGTAAAGGAGGGATAAACAGTGATGGAAGGAAACTGGACTTGGGATGGTGAACAACACACAATACAATATACAGATGAGGTATTTTAGGATTGTACCCCTGAAACCTATATAATTCTATGAAACAATGTCACCGCAATGATTCCATTACTTATAAATAAATATATAAATAAGTCACAAGTGAAAATCTCCAGTCTGGGAGAGAGATGTTGAGACAGAAGTTGCCCAGGCCCTGCTTCATAAAGGGCAGGTTAGCATGAGCAGATGCCACACCATCACTGGAGATGATGATGGGACAAAAGTGGGGAGTTTGAAGAAGGTTTACAACAAAGTCATGGATCAGTGATGATACTGAAGCCCTGGTGCTTCTCCCCAAGCACTTTGTAGGTGATTTTACTAGGAGTGGTGACTGGAGTTCCTGGAATCAGGTCCTTGTGACCATGTGCTCTGCAGTTTAATGTGTTTTCTGGAATTGAAACCCACTTTATAAAGTGGATCATTGTGAAAAGGATTGCATGTTCTTGGAAGCACATGTAATTAGAGAGAGGGTGGGAGGGGCACGCACTCACCATGAAGTGCCATGAAGGCTAAGATAATTGTAATCATAAAATAGTAAAGCTCTAAGTCCTACAATGTGGGCACATGTAGCTCTGTCACTAGCCAACATGCGACTCCAGTCCCCTGTGCCATATATAAAGTTATAAACTATCATGCATTTGACAACTGGAATGTTGACAGGGTAGATCTGAAAGGTCTTCACCATGCATTTTAACTCCAGATCCTCAAAGAGCATGGTAACTGGAAGACTTGGCGAGATGGCCAATCACTGGTCAATGGGAAGCATTCACACCTTCCTGGGCTGAGCTATGCAGGCTCAGAGTGGCTTTTCCATGGTCTACAGACTGTGTGCAGAACTCTCCCCAGCAAATGAAAGAGTCCTGCAGAAGTCAATGTGTCCCCAGCTCCCAGGGCTACCAGAAGCCTGTCTGCTGCAGCTTCCTCTACAGATGAATGAAAGGCTGCATTTAAAGTAGGAATGACTCCACCCATGTGACAGCTCAGCCTGGAGACTAGATAGTGAAAAATTGCTAGCCCATGAAATTTTCTTTATTTTCATTCCTCTTACCTGAGAGAAAGGAACCCTTTAGTAGTCACCCCCAATTTTCTCATTTTATGGGGTCCCCATTTCTCACCCAGAAATGGTTTTCTCATTAGTCCTTGTGCTTGCTAACCCCCCATCCACAGTCCTTAGCGGGTATGCATGAGAAAATGTTATAGGCTCAGAGCAGAAACCAGAAATCTATGGCTATGACCCCAGAGTCATGAAATGATGCAGTGAACACACTTGACAGATATGAAATCTGAGCCAGGGAAGGTCATTTGGGCTGTGGAAGCCCCGAAATAAGCCCATGCAACTCCCACTGATTTAAAATGTCCTTCAGTCCCATAAACACTCATCAATACCATTTTCACCTGCTTCCTAATATAAATTAGAAAGCTACAAATCTAAAGCTACAAATTTACCTGTAAGAGACTGCTTTAGCTGCCTCCTGCAAAGTTTCATATGTTGTGTTTTCATTTTATTCAGTTCAGAGTGTTCCCTGATCTGCCCTGTGATTTCTCCTTTGAGTCATGAGATACTTTTGGAAGTTTGTTGTTTAACTTTGAAATCTTTGGAGATTTTCTAGACATGTTTCTGTATTGACTTCTAATTTAATTCTGATTTGGTGAGATAATGTAATTATAAAACCTCATTATTTCAAAATATACAGTGAACTATTTTATGGCTTAGTATGTGGTTGATACTGGTAAGCATTCCATAGGCACCTAAAAAGAATGTGTGTCCTGAGCTGATTGGTATGGCTCTGTTGTTTGTCCATCACCCCACGAAGTGAAAGGTCATCAGTTTGATTCCCAGTCAGGGCACATGCCTGGGTTGCAGGTTCAGTCCCCTACTGGAATGCATATGCGAGGCAACCTATCAATGTTTCTCTCTCATGTTGATATCTTTCCTTCTCTTCCTCCTTCCCTTTCTCGCTCTCTAAAAATAAATAAATAAAATGTTTTTAAAAAGAAAAAAGAAAAAGAATGAGTGTCCTGCTGTTGGTGGGTCAAGAGTGGTGTGTCAGCGAGGTCTTGTTAGATCCTGGTGTTGTGCAGGTCTCCTTACTGATTCTCTGTCTGCTTATTCTATCGTTGCTGAGAAAGAGTTGTTGAATCTCAGCCATAACTGTAGATATGCCTATTTCTCTTCACAGTTCTATCAGCTTTTGCTTCATTTGTGTATTTGGACACTGTCATGAAATGCATGTGTTTACGAATATCAACTCCCTGAATTGACCGCGTTTTTGTTATGAAATGTCCTTCTGGGTAATATTTCTCATTCCAAAGTTGACTTTGGATATTAGTCATATGTATGATTACCCAAGCTTTCCTATGAGTTGTGTTTTCTACTTACCTATGCATTCAACATTTCAGGTGCTCTCCTACCCTTATATAGAACCAGATTTTCATTTCATTTGAAGAATTTCATTGAGCATTTTTTATAGGGTAGACATGCAGGCAATTAATTCTCTCAGCTTCTTTTCCACCCTTGTATTTTTAACCTGTATATGTCAGATTTAAAGTGGATTTCTTGTAGACAGCATAGAGATGGGTCTTGCTTTTTTATTCAGTATGACAATCTCTATCTTTTCATCAATTTCCAATAAGTAATTATTGTTATGGTTGGGTTTAAGCCTTTCATCTAGCTACTTCTTCCTCTCATCTCTTCTTTGTTTCTTTTTTCCTATGTTTATGCCTTCTTTTGAATTAATCAATTTCAGGCTTTCATTTTATCTATACCGCTGGCTAATAAGCTATAGCTCTTTGTTTTAATTTTTAGTGGATATTACAGGGTTTACAATATACACATTTAGCATATCATAGGCCATCTTCAAATGATATTACACCACTTCATATATAATGTGAGAGCCACTTACACTATATCTCCATTTCCCCTCATGTCCTTTGTGGAATTGTCATAAATTTTGTTTCTGCAATATGTTATAAACCCACAATACATGTTATTATTTTTTTATCTAAACAGTCCATTGCATTTTTAAATAAACCTAAAACAGAAAAAAATACTTGTCTATTTACCTAGTCATTCACCACTTTGGGTGCTCTCCCACTCTTACATAGAGCCAAGTTTCCATTTCATCTGAAGAATTCCATTGAGCATCTCTTATAATGCAGACCTGCAGCCAATGAATTTTCTCAGCTTTCGTTTTTCTGAAAATTATTTTGCTTTCTTTGGAGGGAAGATTTTTTCCTATCATGATAACAGAAAATTTGCCATTTTAACCATTTTTAAGTTTACAATTCCGTGGCATTAAGTAATTTCACATTGTTGTACAGCCATCACCACCGCCTGTCTCCAGAGTTTTTCATCTTGCGTCTGTCCCTGTTCCACACTAACTCCCCATTCTCTCCCCAGCCCCTGGCACTCATCATCTGCTTTTTGTCTCTGCATTCAACAACTGTTGGGACTTCATACAGTTACAGAGGAATCATACAGGATTGTCCTTTGTCTGGTTTATTTCACTTAGTATAATGTCCTCAAGGTTCATCCATGTTGTAATGTGTCAGAGCTTCCTTCCTTTTTAATGTTGAATAATACTCCATTCTGTGGATGGATGATGTTTTATTTATTGGTGGACACTTGGGTTGCTTCTACCTTTGGGCTACTGAAAATAATGCTGCTATGAACAATGGTGTAAAGATACTGGTTCGAGTCCCTGCTTTCAGTTCTTTTGGGTGTGTACCCAGAAGTAGAATTCCTGGATTATATCAAAATTCTGTTTGTATTTTAAGAAACTACCACACTGCTTTCCTCTATATCTGTACCATTTTACCTTTCACCAAGAACATACACAAGTTCCAATTTGTCTACATCCTTGATAATGCCTGTTTTCTGTTTTTTTTTTATAGTAGCCATTCTAATGACTATGAAATGGTATCTCATTGTGGTTTTGATTTGCATTTCTTAATGATGAGTGATGTTGAGCATGAGTTCATTAGTTCATTTGTCATCTATATAGCTTCCATGGAGAAATATCTACTCAAGTCCTTTGCCCACTTTTTAATTGAGTTGTTTGGAGTTTTTTGTTATTGTTCACTTTTAGGAGCTCTTTATATAGTCTGGATATTAATTCTTTATCAGATATGAGATTTGCAAATATTTTCTCCCACTCCATGGATTGTCTTTTTACTCTGTTGATAGTACCTCTTGATGCACAAAAGTTTTTAATTTTGATGAAGTCAATTATATATTTTTTTCTTTTATTGTTTGTGCTTTTGGTGTCATATGGAAAAGTCCATAACCAAAACGAAAAAGAACACAAAAACAAAATCATACTAAGCTCATAGACCCAGAGAATTGATTGTTGGTTGCCAGAGATAAGAGGTAGAGGGTTAGAAAAAAATAGGTGGACTGGTTTGTTGTTTGCTTGATGTTTGTTTAAATAAATTGAATATTTTAATAAAAAAATCCATTGCCAAACCCATTGAAGATTTATGCCTGTGTTTTCTTCCAATAGTTTCATAATTTCAGGTCTTACACCCATTTGAGTGGGTTTTTATGTTGGTGTGAGGGAGCTATGGATCGATTTTCTCCTGGCTATAGGTCACATTTTCTTGCTTCTTGTTATGTCTAGTAATTTTTTTGCCAGATGTTAGACTTAGTGACTTTTATATTCATGCTATTTAGATTTTGTGATCTTCCTTTAACAAGTGCTGGATTTGCCCTGGTAGGAAGATGATTTGCTTGTGGTACATTTTTCTCCTTCTGCGCATTGTTGAAATGTTTCTGAGGCAGCCTTCGCTTCAGGAATCGTTTATGCCCTGCACTGCAGTGGCCTTTCCAGAGTCCACTGAGCTCTCCATGTGATTGGCAAGCCCCTCCCCCCCATCCAGGGGGACTCAGTGGTCTTCAACCCTGTGTGAACTCTGAGACCTGAACAATCTCACCCTGTGGCTGAGTCAGCGGGCTTCTGCGGTGAGCCTTTCCAGCACCTCAGACTCTCTGAACTTTGTCACTGTTTCCTTCACACAGCAAGACCCCATGCTGTGCTCCGGGACCCCTGTCTGCCACGGGGAAGGTGCCTCCAGCGGGGAAGTGGGGCCTTGCAGGGCTCACCTCGCTGCTTCCCTTCTCCCAGGAATCTCGGCCCTGTGTCAGCTCCAGTCCCATATCTGCAAACACTTGTTTCATGTACTTTGTCCAGCTTTCTAATTGGTATGATGTCAATCTCTCACAGCCAAAACAGAGGCTCTTCACCCCCTTTTCATGGCAACCAGCTTCCCGCAGACAGAGCACAGGTTCAGAGTTAAGCTATCCGGGGCCAGATCCTGGCTCTGCTGCTGGCTGACTTCAGGTTGGAGAGTGTTCTTGCCCTCTTGGTTCCTGGGTTCCCTGTCTGTATAAAGAGCAGGACAGCTGCAGTGGGCACCCAACAAGGCAGTGCAGGTAAAGCCCAGTGCATGCCTGCCTGGCACACCTCAAATACTCTGTTATCCATATCCAAGAACCATGACCATAAGCACACCCGAAGAAGGAATGCAACAGGAAGTGGAATTGTTACACCCTTCCTAAAGCTGATGACATCCCAGGCCATCACTATTTGGTCCTCCAGGCCATGTACACTCCAGAAATTTCTGCATTTCAGCCCCAAACCACCATACCCAGACATCCTTCCGTCATCACGCCATGTGCCTAATCTTGGGAAGCAGCCACCCTTCCCTGTGCCCTGTAGCATCCTGGCATGACTAGTGTGGCTGTCCTATGCAGCTCTGGTGCTTCTGGCTCCTCTCCCCAGCTGACAGCATCTACAATGCCCTGTCCTCTGAACTGTCTGTGGGATTTCACACAACTTCAAACAAGAGGAACTTGGGGGGAATTTTTGGGAATTCTTGGGGAAGGGAATTGACCGGTGCAGACAAGGTGCTAATTCTCAAAGCAACTTAAAAGGTTTAAGATGAAACCTGTGTGTTCAGTGTCCTAGAAACAGCTTTATGAGTAAATCCCCAAGGAGAGCCATGTGCTTTCTCCCTCTCCAGGCGTGGTGTGTTGCACCTTCACGAGAGCCACGGCATTGATGACCTAGGTCCTCCCCGCTGGCAGCTCACATCCTGCCTCGTGTTGGTCATCGTCCTGCTCTACTTCAGCTTGTGGAAGGGAGTGAAGACTTCTGGGAAGGTGAGGCTGCAACCTTGCCAACTGGGATGTAGACACGTGGCCATGGTTGGGGAGTGAACAGGGAGGCCATGGCTGGGTTTAGGAGTGGACAGGGGGCTGTGGTTGGGTTTAGGAGTGGATGGGTAGGCCATGGTAGGTTGGGGTGCGGACAGATAACTGTTGTTAGGCTGTGGAGTGGAGGGGTAGCTGTGGTGGGTTGGGGAGTGGACAGGGAGTCCACTTTTGGATTGGGAGTAGGCAAAGAGGCCATGTCTGGGTTGGGGAGTGGGCAGGTGGACCAAGGTTGGGTTGTGGAGTGGACAGGTGGCTGTGGTTGGGCTGGGGAGTGGACAGGTGGGTCAAGGTTAGGTCGGTAAGTGGACAGAGGTGGCTGTAGTTATGTTGGAGAGAGAACAAGTGGCCATGTTTGGGTTGAGGAGTAAACAGAAGGCCATGTTTGGGTTGTAGAATGGACAGGGGTAACTGTGGTTGGGCTGGAAAATGGACAGGTGATCATAGTTGGGTTGGGGAGTGAACAGATGGACTGAGATTGGGTTGGGAAGCCCACAAGGGGCTATGGTTTGGCTGAGGAATGGACAGGTGACCATAGGGGTTGGGGGTTGAGCTATGGAGTAGAGAGGTGACTGTGGTTGGATTGGGGAGTTAGCACATGAGTGTGGTTGAGGAATGACATCACTGGGAAAGCACCCAAGGCAGAGTGTTTCCAGCATTAAGACAAGTACAACCTAGGTTGGTTTTTGCTGATGAAAATATTTTTATTATTATCTGGACAACCAAAGTAGCTGTGACCACAATGTGTTCATCACTTGTAATAATACATGTAGTGAAGCACGAACACATGGGAATCTTTTGATCGTGACAGTGCTTTTCTTCCCCTACCTGCAGCCCAGAATCCATCCTCTTCCCATAATACAGGTGCACATTTGCACAATCAGTGAAATTTGCTCACATCTCACTCATCAGAAATTCAGCCACTCCTACCTACTCATACTGTGACAGACCAAATACAGAACAGGAATGTTCCTTCCTTGCCAAGTCGTTTGTCCTCTTTTAATCCCTGGGAAAGATGCACAGGATAGGAGGCATTTATAGTCTCATCCCAGGGAGCATTTGCTGAGCTGGCATCCTGTGAATGTTTGGGATGTTGGGCTTCCCAGTCAGAGGCCACCCCTCTCTTAACACAAACCATCAGGGTGAACTTGTGCCCACTCCCTGCCAGCAGGTGGCCTGTGCAGCCTGGTGACACTGTCCTCTCCCCAGGTTGTATGGATCACGGCCACCATGCCATACATGGTCCTTTTCGCCTTGCTCCTGCGAGGAATTACTCTTCCCGGAGCCATGGATGGCATCAGAGCATACCTGAGCGTTGACTTCCATCGGCTCTGCGAGGCATCCGTGAGTATGCCCACCGCTCAAAGCCCTGCAGTCTATGTGGACTGACAGGCGTGGTGCAGGGTGGGGCCTGTTTTGGGGGACAGGAGATCCCAAAGGCTCATCTGGTATTTCTCACTCACCCTATAAATCCAACAGGCGCTGTCTGCCCTGTTGTGTGAGGTTCTGCAAGACAATGTGCACGCCTGACCCCACTGGTAGAGTTCACTGTCTGGTGTGGGCATAGTGGGGAGCTGAATGGACCAAAGAACACACTTGGTGGAGCAGATCCCTGCTGGGTCTCTGCAGGAATAGAAAGAAGGCTGGTCTTCCCCATAGTCCAGCTCTCCTCCTGGAGGGTCGCCCTTGGGTTCCCTGGATAAGCACCGATGGGGCTGCCCAGCCTGAGCCAGAGAGCTTTGCCGCTCACATGGAATGCAGGCCCTGAGTGCCACCTCCCTGTTCATCAGTCCAACAAGGCTGAGACCTGTCAGCATTGCAGGAACCAAGGCTCCCTCCCCAGGAAGCCAGACCTCATTGGTGAAACACTCCAGGTGCCCAGAGCACAAGGGCATGATCTAAATTATATGGTATCAGAAACTAAGTCCAGAATTAAGCTGCAGGTTTTTTCAGCAAAGAAAGGAATACTTGGAGACAGCCTTCAGAGGAGAGGAAGGTTGGCCAGGCCATGGGAGGGGGGTCTCCCGAGAAAGAGAGAGAAGGGGTGATATTGCAGGGAAACAGCCCAGGAACGGCAGCCACCACTGGCAGATGGACGTAGGGGTAATGGGAACGGCAGCTTTCAAAAGAGAATTGTTGCAAATTCAGGTGGACTAGATTGTGACAGAGGGTGGGGCTCCAACAGCCACCCAGGGAAGTTCAACTAACTGTGGAGGGGGCATGTGGCCAGAGGGGGAAGGTTGAGGCTAGGGGCACAGGGCCTTTTGGAAGGTGGCTGCCTTATGCAGCTGGGTTGCAATGAGAGGCAGGTGTGGAGCTCCTCAGGACTCAGGAAGAAGCAGCCCTGAGGCAGCAGTGGAAAGGAATGGGGGAACAGGGAGGCCAGCGTTGCTCCAGGCGCCTCGGAAGCCCCAGCAGGGGAGTTGCTGCAGGAGCCATAGGAGGAAGGCTTCTTGAACACGATGCCTTCAAGCTCACAGGTGAGGACAGCAGTGAGCGTCAGTGGTGTGGCACTGACCAGGAGCCACACAGTGAGGCCATAAGAGCAGACACCTGTTCCCTGCCGAGAAAGAAGAGGGAGCTGGACAACCAAAGAGAGGAAATGCAGCAGAAGCCCCGGACCACAACTCCGGGCAGCACGCAAGAGGGAGCAAAACAGATGCCAGCATTAATTCATAATAAATGAACTGTGGTCGAATGGGAAAATGGTACTGATATTCCGAGGGAAGTCACAAATAATGCACAAAGACGCAGTCCCTTTTCTTCCCGCTCGTCCAGGCCAGTGACACGGGAAGGTTTATTCCCTGAGACGCATTTGCCTCTGATCATGTTGTTGGAGCCAGTTGCTTGTAAATAATGATGTTGAGTTTAAATTCAACTCTGTCCCATGGACCTGGAGACATCTCAGCTGGAGACACTGGCAGGGAGGGCAGGGAGCCGGGGCCTCGGTCTTAACACAATTGCCTGTGACAGCTGGCTCTCGCTTCCCGCAATTATCTCTAACAGCCGCGCGTCTCCCCTCTGCCGCAGGTTTGGATCGACGCTGCCACGCAGATATGCTTCTCACTGGGCGTTGGGTTTGGGGTGCTAATCGCCTTCTCCAGTTACAATAAATTCACCAACAACTGCTACAGGTAGGTCTGGAGCTCCCACCCCGTCCCCTCCCATAAGAGGGTCTGCAAAATCAAGGGCACATTGCTGATACAGCAGGTGGGGGTGTCATAATATGTCCCTGGTCAAAAGGAGGGAAAATAAGCTGTGAGTGCGAAGCCTCCAAGCCAAAATGGCATTTTAAGTGGAAATTAAAATGGGGTAGTTGCCGGCAAAATTTTGATTCTCGTGTTAAAGGAAGTATTGAGATACACGGTGTATATCACTTCTCTGTGAGGAAATCTCCTAGATTCCAGGAGCTACAGATTCTCCCTGAGGCTTCACCCCTGCCCCCTCATCCGCCCTAGGCCCAGGGTCAGGCTTCTCCCCCAGGCTTCCCCACAGTGAAGCACCTGCACGCTGTCCCCTGGCCTGCACCTGGGAGCCTGGGTCCTGAAGGGTGCCCTGCACCCTATGGAGAGGCACCCAGGTGAACCAGCGTCAGGACAGGCAAGAAAGTAGCAGCACCATGTACTCACTTCGGCCATGTCACCTGGGCTAGAATGACCTGACTTACCTGTACCACATGCTGGACCCAAAATCCTTCTAAAAACAGAAACAATTTATTTGGGACTTGTGTTCTTTGAACTTTATGGGCTTGTGTTTATATTCTTTCATGTCCTGAGGATAAAATAGGGTAAAGAAACACAGACAATGTACAGAGCGAAGTGACCACACAGACCACTGCCAGGGTCCCACAGAGGGTGAACTCCAGATGGCAGTCCCTGAGACAGCCCCGCCCGAGCCCACCTGTGCCCCCCAGGCCAGGGCACTCTGAGATGTCCTTCTACTGGGGCTCCCAGAAGGGCTGACCCCACCCAACCCTCCCCTGCTCTCTTCTGGCCCTCAGAGTGGGGTCCCCAGATCAATAGTACCGACCCCCCAGGAGCAGCAGGAGAACATCATCTGGGACCCACCAGACCCACCCCTTCAGAATCTGCATTTAAACAAGGTGCCCCCTGCCTGACACCCCGCTCGGCACAGGTGGAGACGCCCACAGCTGTCTGTTCTGCCCACCCAGAGCCCCAGCAGTGCTGGTGGGGACCCTCTCGCCTTCAGCACTGGGTCTTGTGTCGCATGAGTCTCTCACTCCCAGGCAAACGTGATGGTTGGTCACCCTAGGGACATGCCTGGAGCCCAGAGCCTGCTGCCAGAAGGTCCCAGATGGGAAGTCCATCCTCACCAGCAGGGCAGCCGGAAGACAGGCTCTGTGGTTGCACAAGGGCCTGGCCATGCTCCTCGAGAAACAGGTGTTGTAAATTGAGAATAATGACTGGAAATTGCAGCCACACCAGCGCTGGGATGGGGTGTCTTGTTCTCACAGAGATGCCATCATCACCACCTCGGTCAACTCCCTGACAAGCTTCTCCTCTGGCTTCGTCGTCTTCTCCTTCCTGGGGTACATGGCCCAGAAGCACAGTGTGCCCATCGGGGATGTGGCCAAGGATGGTGAGTCCCCCAACGGCAGGATGGGGCCCCTACACCTCCACCTGCTGTAGGTCAGTTCTCAAAATGTGTTTTCCTGCAAAGTGAGGGGGAGGCATACAGGCGCACAGGCCCTCGTACCGTAAGAGTTGTTGACCTGAACGATTACCAGGCAGGGAAAGTTGGGAAGCTGGGCACAGATGTGGGTGCTGAGGAGAGACTCTGATCGCTGCAGCCCCCTGGGCACTTAGCGGTCTGCTTGGTTCTAGTTCATGATGGAAACCGTGGCATAGGCAGCCTTGAATTGGGTCTGTGCAGGTTCCAGGGCTTTTGAAATGGCTGCGTCCCCTCCCCGCCTTCAGGACTGTTCTGCAGGTGAGTGGTGAGAGGTCTATCCCTGAAGACTGTCCTCTGGCTCAGGGGCAACTTGCCCTGAGTTTGAAGGCTTCCCCCCTTCTCCTGATGGCTGGAAAGTTCCCTCTTCTGCTGGGGCTGCTCCTTAGTCTCAGAAAAGGCCTGTGAGTGCCACTGACTGAGCTTCCTGGGTCTTTTTACTCTGGAGTCAGTGGTCTTTCAGGGAGGAGGAAGCAGAGGACCCACCGCACCTGTGCCCTGGGCTCTAAGCCGGGCAGTCCATCATCCCATCTAGTTCCTGGCAGGTTGAGCATTAAGCCCCCACTTTGAAAGTAGGACACAGAGACTCTGAGATCCAAAAATGAGCCCTTGAAATTGCACCGAAAGCAGGGGGCTGGGATGAAACCTCCATATGTTTTCAAGTCCATATTCTTTCCTCTAAGAAAAAAATTTAATAAAGGCAGGAGAAAAGGAGCATAATGCAAATAAGTACTGAGCAGTGAAATTTACTCACTTGCATTTATGCATTTTCACCGTTCTTTTTGCCCTTTATTATGATAAACAGCAATAACTTGCAAAAACCTTTATTAACCCCTGAAAGTAAAGATGAATGTTTTCTATGCATTTGCATGACAAGCAAAGTAAATGTCATTTAGGATTCTAATTCTCAAGAAAACAGGATGAAATGTTAACTCAGGTACAGAAATGCAAGGTGAGGGTGTTAACAGATATCTTGCTGGGTTCCTGGCTTTATGGCTTTTAGACTTTAGAGCATCTCAAAGAGCCACCCCCTGGCCCTGCAATGGAAAAGGTGCCCCTAACATGGGCCTTCAGGAATCAGAGGGCCCAGCCCGACCCCAGAGCCCATAGAGCCTCTGGGAGTGGCCCACCTCCGGCCTTTGCCCCATTCTCTAGGAGGACCACAAATGCCCCGTTCCTGGCTGGTGCCAACACAGGCTGACGGAGGACTGGGAGAATCAGAAAAGCTATGAGGTACCTCTGTAAGCAGAGGCTCGGTGACAGTGCTAGTCAGCTATGTCCATGTGTATTCTAAAGTTGGCCATGAATGTGGTCAGTTACCAACTTCCTGTGGGAATATTTTTTACTTTGGATCATCTGAGGCCAAACTGCCTCTCACCTTAGGTGGGTCCTGCTGTTCCCGTCCCCCCATCTGTCCAAGCTCACAGTGTTCATTCCCCTCTACCCAGATCCCACCTGCTGGGGATGAGGAGCAGGTGCGGTTGCCCATGGCAACCTGCCCCAACCCAGCAATACCAGTCCCAGAATGTTGTACAAGGGGCTGATCCAAGCAGTGCTGGCTTGTGCCCAGGAGCATGCCCCTTCCTAGCAACACACCACACAGCATTCGTGAATGTGGTCTCTGCATTCACACTGTGGTTTTAAAGATCACATTTAGAATACCACACAGCACAGAAAATATTGACTACATATGGCTCATGAAGCACAGTGAGTGCAAGTGTGTGAGGGTGCACACGCATCTGCAACTTGCTCAGGAAGAACAAACCCAGGGGGTCACTGCATGCTCAGCGACACAGGCAGGCCCCAAAGCTCCTCTCTCTCCTCCCCCAGAGCCTCCACAGAGAGGGACAAAAGTGATTTGGAGAATGGGAGGGCCACCAGGGATGGGACAAGTGAATCAGTCTCCCATGGGTTTTGGGTTTCCATTCTCTAGAGTCCAAGGCCAGGTGTCTGCGAAATTCACAGGAGGAAGGACAAGAGAGGCAGCAATGGGAAAGATTTTGTGCTGCTAAGTCTAAAGGCCCTTGAAAAGGGCTAAGCTGGCCTCTCAGGGGCAGGCAAGAAGGTATAAGCATGAAGTGACATGTGAAGTGACACTCGGTGGCAACCAGAGGTTCTGTTTTCAGGGCCAGGGCTGATCTTCATCATCTACCCTGAGGCGCTTGCCACGCTCCCGCTGTCCTCGGCCTGGGCTGTGGTTTTCTTCATCATGCTGCTCACCCTGGGGATCGACAGTGCTGTGAGTGACATCAACATTTCCTGTACCCAGGATTCTGCCCATGACGACCAGGCTCATCTGCAGCCTCAGATGCTCCCTGAGGGTCCCCTAAAGTTCCCGTGCTCACACAGAGCCCCACATGGGTGGCAGGGAGGGGGTCCCCTGATTATTTGAGCCCTTTCCCAGGATAGGGTGTTTGGACCAACTCACCCCTTCTTTTTTCATTTGGGGGCACCAGCTGCACCCTCTGCCTGAGCCACCATGGACCCTAAACACACACGAAGCAAGAGGGCTGCACAGGAAAATAAGGTGATGCGACCATACACTCCAGGCAGGTTCCTAATGACTCATCACTTTCCCTGACCCCTTAGCCCCCAGGAGGGATGGCTGCATTTTCAGGGTAGGGCAACAGCAGTCTCCAGCCGCAGCCCAGGCCTGCCCACTGAATGTCTTATATGTGGCTCTTCATGTGTGTGTGCATGTATGTGTGTGGTATGTGCCGGGATGGACAGTAGGCTGTTGTTCAGCCCTGGGCCTTCTGGACTTCTCGGTGTCTGTCCCCACTGCCTGCTCATGACCAACAGCTGAGACCTCAGGGTCCCCGGAACTGGCCTTGTCCACCTGAGCTTCCTGCAAAGTGCAGAGTCCCTCCCCATGAGACTACCAGTCACGTTCCATAGCCCTCCACCTCCTCTCCCACCAATCCGGTCACCAGCCCCTCGGGATGGACCACACCCTTGGACAGCATGTCTGTTGGGGATGCAGTCATGACAGCATTTGCTGGGGGAGGTGGTCTCAGCAGAGTAGGGCAAAGAGGGTCCCCAAGCAGTCAGGTCCATGTGGGCAACACTGCATCGTGACACTCTTAGTCAGAAACACTTCATATGTTAGCCAGGTAGCACTTCTCTCCCCGCACCAGGACTTCATAGTGGCTGAGAAAGTCACCACCAGTGGACAGAGCATCCACCTCCAGTCTTCTCTCTCCAATGGCCATGTTGTGAGAGAAGCCCTCACAGGGACTGTCTTGTCTTTAAGGCATTCTGCACCCTGGACACCATGCAGTTCCCACTCCATTTTCCAGGGGAACATCCTCTGAATTACATGTCAATCACACCAGGGCATGGTGCCAAGTGACCCCCCCAGCGCGTCCCCTGCTCTGTGTTGGCTGCAGATGGGCGGGATGGAGTCAGTGATCACCGGGCTCATTGATGAGTTCCAGCTTCTGCACAGGCACCGGGAGCTCTTCACCCTCTTCATCGTCCTGGCCACCTTCCTTCTCTCCCTCTTCTGCGTCACCAATGTACGTACAGACTCAGCTTCATCTGGTGAAGTCTCATTAGCACTCAGCACTGGGCAACAAGGCTGGTGCTGTTGAGCCAGACAGAGCCACAGTTCTGCGTTCTTCTAAGAGCTGCATCCCCACAAAAAACAACCCTCGACTTATTCTCGGGTGGTCACACTCACAGTAGCCAGGGTCACCCTCAGGGTAGCATGGTCACATGCATGGTAGTTGTTGTGACATGGATAACTGTGGTCACATGGAGTAGCCATTGTCACACTCAGGGTAGCCATGGTCACACAGAATAGCTGTGATCACATGGAGTAGCTACGGCATAAGTGGGACTTGGTCTAGAGTTACACCAGCACCTGGACAGCTCCTTGAGAGGTGCCCTTGATTCAGCCACCTGTCTGTTGGATTTGTGGGGCTGGATGGAGGCCATTCCACGGGGTACAGGGTGCCCAGGTCACCTCCTTTTCATATAGAGGCTCTGCCAAACTTGGCATTTGGTTGCTTTCATTTCTAATGGCACCTGGAGCTCTGAGAAAGGAGAAAAGAGGTCTTTATTTTTTTGTAATAGATGTGTCCCTAAGAAGTTGTGTGTGGATTTAATTTCAGTGACTTCAATTGGACTTTATAGGAAATAAAACAGAATCTGTCTGTAAACTGAACCCAGAGGCCAGATTTCTGTTTGGGAAAAGCACTTGAGTGGGTGAGGCTTTCGTGGGCCAGGGATGCCACACCGGGACATGTGAACTTCAGCAGGCGCTCCCCTCTCTTCCAGGGTGGCATCTATGTCTTCACACTGCTGGACCATTTTGCAGCTGGCACATCCATCCTCTTTGGGGTGCTCATCGAGGCCATTGGGGTGGCCTGGTTCTACGGTAAGAATGAAGCCTTCCTTGGGGACTGGTGTGCCTCAGCCAGCAGGAGACCTAGCCTCCAAGCCATCTCTGTGACTAGCAGGGCTGGTTTCCTCTTGCTTTGTTGCTATGCTGCTTCCTTTCTAGTAAAGATGGCTTGAAAAGGATGAATATTAGTTCTAAGAAGATAATTGTGGTTACCACGGCATCACAGAGATGAGATGCTTGGCAACCATCATTCCATTGGATCAGTGAAGACAGCCTACATGGCACCCCAAAATCCTTACTGTGGTCAGAGGCATTCCATGTGGCCACTTAATTATGCTACAAAGAGATCCTAATCGGTTCTTTAGAAAGAATGGTTTCCTGGGACATTGGGACACTAATGCTGGTGAAGGTCTGCATCCAGCTAACCAAGAGGTGACCAGCCTTCAAGACACCAGAGAAACAAGTTGAGCCTGTTCCTCATCAGAGAACATGATTAACAGATGCCCTTCATCAATTGTTGTGTTTCAAAGTGCCTCTGCTCATGCATCAGGCCCCTACGGTGCAGAACTCCTTACCCCGCAAGGACATCCCTGCTCACCTGACTCCAGGCCCGCCCAGGGCCAGGTGCTTCTTCGTAGGTTAGAGCTGTGAGCCCCACAAGGCTGGGGGCCTACTGGTCAGCAGGTCACTCCCAGACCACGGTTGTCCCTGGCCTGTAGCCACAGCCTTCCACCCCCACTGGCATGGTGACCAGTGTCATTTACCAGCATCCAAAAAGTCTGGAGGAGGTTTTGCCCTTTCCCTGAGTGCCCGGCCTGGGCAGGCCACCCACCTCTCTCCTCTCAGTTTTCTCTTCCATAAAATGGATCATGGTGCCAACTCAGATCACCTGACCAGGTGTCTTTGAGGGGAACAGGCACATTGCTCCAAACACATATGTGCTGAAGCTGAAGGCCTGGTGTTGCACAAACCCCAACTTCACAAGAACCCTCATGTAACAGAGCGGGTTGTGTTCCTTGCCTCAGAGCCATGGAAACTATAATTTATTAACATGCCCTGGCTTTGAGAGTCTGAACTGACAGAGAGTTTGCATCTTGAGAACTTTTTTTTTTAATTATATTTGTTCTAAGTAAAAGGAAATATTGAACTCCGTATTTTCATTGGCACCCTGAATCAATAGCTTGTCATCTCTCCCCAACCTGCAAAATAACACCACATAGAATGAGGGAAGCTTCAAGCTTTCCCACAGCCATGAACCCGGTGCTGGTGGAGGCTGGAGGGAAGCTGGCCGGACAGTGGTTGTCTGCTCCCCAAACCCTCAGAGGGCAGAGATCTCCGTTATTTCTCAAAAAAGCAATTCACACCCCCCTTATCTAAATATAATAAAACAAAATCTGCACTTCCAGTAAGACTGCATCAGAATATAGCAACCTTTCAATGCACCAAGAGGCCCTGTGGGTCTTAGTGCTGATGGCCCAGCACCAGGCAGGGTCACCCAAGGCCTGCTCATGGGGCCGAGTCAGGAAGGGCTGTGGGGCCCCAAGTGGACACTCTCCACTTTGCTGGCCTTTGCGTTTGCGCTTCTCTATTCTTCTTTGCCCCCGGGTTCATTTTCATGTTCAGGGTTTTGATGATGGGATTGGAGTGTGAGAGGGAATTCCGATATGTCCCTATGTGTGACACCTACGAGACTTACCCACCAAGATCGGCAAACCAGCTGCAGCAGTAGGACCAGAGCCCAGGCTAAATTCAGGGCAGGAAACCTCACTTTTAGGATCTCCTAGAGAGAATATTGATCATCTAGAAATACCTTTCCTTTAACAATGACGATTATGTACATACAGTAGAATACTATTCACCCTTTAAAAAAAGAAAATCCTGACACACGCTACAATGTGGATGGACCTGGAGGACATTATGCTGAGTGAGATAAACCAGTCCCAAAAGGAAGGATCCTGTGTGAGTTCACTCACAGGAGGTTCCTAGAGCTGTCAAATTCATGGAGACAGAAAGCAGAAGGGTGGCTCCCTGGGCTGGGGGAAGGAGGAAGGGGGTTACTCGTTAATGAGTTCGGAGTCTCAGTGTGGGAAGATGGAAAAGTTCTACAGATCGATGGAGATGATGGCTGCATGACAATGTGACTGTACTTAATGCCACAGAACTGTTCACTTAAAAATGGTTAAGGTGGTAACTTTTATATGTATGTTACTCCCCACAAATTTTTAAGTGAAATCCCCCCACAAATTAAGTGACAAAACAAATAATGATTGCAGAAATCAGGCAGGGACAGCTGTGGGACATTGGGAGGAGGACCTGAGGTGAGTGGAGGGTGAAGAGCGGCCAGGCAGAGTGGCTGGTATCCCACAGGCCTCCCTGAGTGACCCTTAGGATGGAGCAGCATACGTCACCCGGTGTCACCATGGGGGACATGTGTGGGGTCCCCTGGTCTGCAAGACCACTGGGCAGTCTGGAGCGGGGCTGGTCCCTGCAGGAGGCAGTCTGAGCTTGAGGTCCACTGGGGTGGGCCCGGGGTTCAGCAAGGACCAAGGCACTTGCCTGGGTCTTGGGGAGAGTGCTGTCCTGACCTCCCAGCTTGGCTCTCCCAGGTGTGCGGCAGTTTAGTGATGACATCAAACAGATGACCGGGCAGCGGCCCAGCCTGTACTGGCGGCTGTGCTGGAAGTTCGTCAGCCCCTGCTTCCTCCTGGTAAGGGGCCAAAGGCCATGCATGTCGCTGCTCTTCCCCAGCTCTCACACCTACCCCAGGATCAGTGGTGGCAACCGCAGGCAGGTTTTCACTTGGGCAAGTGAATGTGCTTGAGGCTGGGGGCAGGGGTTCCACACTGCCTGGAGACCAGGTCTCTGATATGGAGTCAGTTGGTAGTCATGCAGGACTCCAGAAGGGCAGGCTGGTCCCTGAAATTCTTTCTGGCCTCCTGAAGATATGCCCCCCCCATTAGACCCACTGGGCAACCTCACATGGGGTCCAGGATGACCTTCCCCCGGATAAGGCCCTTGTGTTTCCTGCATTCGGACACCCCTCTGTGTTGGAGGGGAGGCCCAAAGACAGTGAGGTTATTGACTTCCTGCCTTGAGGGCCAAGATAGAATTTAGACCTCCTGGAGCAACAAGTACTCAATCCAGAGGGCAGAGTGCCATGAATTCTGGTTCAGCTCTGCCCTCAGGGGCCCTGCCAGGCACAGGCACCACTCACATATCCAGTAGCTGCTTGGCTTTTATCATCTGAGCCAAATCTACATGCATCTCTTTTATTAGAACACAGCCACACCATTCATTTACAGGCTGCCCATGGCACCTTTCACACTGCAGCAGCAAGGCTGAGTAGTTTACTGAGACCCCATGGCTCATGACACCTCAACTATCCTGGCAGGTCCGAACAGGTGACTCCAGAGGGCCGTTCAAGGCCAAGTCCAGGTCTGAGTGGAGAGTCCAGGAGCTGTGCACAGAGACCAGTGCTGCCTGACCTCGGGCTCTCCTCCCACCCCAGCCAGCCCAGCGGTCACTCGGAACGGGCCTGGGATGGGCCGGCGGCTCAGGCAGACCCCGTCATCGGCCAACCCAAATGCTAGCGAGCGAAAAAGAGAGAAAGGGGTCAGAAGTGCAGTGATAAAAACGCTGCTTCTCACAGAGCCACACCCACACTTTCGGAAGATGCTTGTCTCCCCCTCCTGGCAGCCTGAGGTCTGTCTCCAGTACGTCTGTCTGCCCGCAGCCTAGAGGGTGGAGGCTGCGGGAGTTGGAACTCCAGACAGATGAGGTGTTCTTCTGCTACTCTACTTGCTCAGGTCCCCCAGCTGGGACAAGATGTGAGATTATCGAAGGACAGCTGAGGGAATTCCCACTAGTCAAACTCAGAACTGAGAGGACACGCAGCTCAGGAACACCGTCCCGTGACAGCCGCTCAGGATTCACAGGGCAGCTGCAGAAGCAAGCCCACCACCTGGTTCCCGGGTCTGCAGGGCCTGGGCCCCTAGAGCTGTGGTGGCTGGGAGACCCTCCGCCCTGACACGCTGGCTCCATTCCACCTCTGCATCCCCTGTCCATCCACCAGCCGAATGTCACCGTGTGACCTCTGCCCTTGGTTTCAGTTTGTGGTCGTGGTCAGCATCGTGACCTTCAGACCCCCGCACTACGGAGACTACGTTTTCCCTGAGTGGGCCAATGCGTTAGGGTGGACCATCGCGGCGTCCTCCATGGCCATGGTGCCCATCTACGCGGCCTACAAGTTCTACAGCTTGCCTGGGTCCCTGCGGGAGGTGCGTATGTGGACAGGACCCCTTACCCATCTCAGTCACCTGATCGTGAGGCCACCAACTACATCAAGTGGGCTTTCACTTCCTGCTGGGAAAAACCTGCCCATAAACCACATACGATCTCAGTACTCAAGACAGATGAGGCTGTGGGAGGGTCCCCCAGGGCTGTGACCCTGGGGAGGAATCCCGGCCTCACGAGAGTCAGAGATGGCAGCTGCTGGGAGGTGGGCTCTGGAGGACCAGCAAGGAGCACGGCTGCTCTTTGTCTAGGCCCGGGGCACGGGCCATTGGGGCAGGAGGAGGAAGGAAGGCCGGCTTCCTGGAGCTGAATGGGACAGAAAGCAGGTGCCTCTCCTCCCAGATGGCATGTGAGCTTCAGGTGCCCTGGGGCCCGACCTGGGCCATGGGAGTGAGTGCTGTTTACCTTCACTTGGAGTCCACCATGAGCTGATATGGAGACAAAACTTCTCCAGCATCTGCCTTTTCAGCTTGTGCTGCACTCTGCTCCAGGGCCCAAGGGGACCCAGGTGTCAGCTCCTGCAGCTGACCGCGTGCCGCTGGGGAGCCTAGTCACCTCGCTGAGCATGTGCCAGTGCCCACGGTCTCTTCATCTCTCCTAGAAAGTGGCCTATGCCATCACCCCCGAGAAGGAGCGCCAGCTGGTGGACAGCGGGCAGGTGCGCCAGTTCACGGTGAGTGCCGCTCCCCTCGCCTCCCCTTCAGCTGATGCAGACGGATCTGGAGAGCAAGGCTTCTCCTTGAACCACAGCCCTCAGAAAGCTGGGAGGCTCATATATTCAGTCACTAAATGCTCCCTGATACCACCTGCTGTGAACCTCTGACCTGGAGAGGGGCAGGCAGCAGATGAAATATATCAGATGCAGATGGGCACATGGAGAAAGAGAAAACAGACAAGGGCAGAGCATGACTTGGGGCCCACCAAGGAGGTGGCACCTGAGCAGACATCTGTGCGAAGGGAGCAGCCTGCGTTCCATGTGGAGACGTAGCACAGAGAACAGCCCTGACGGGTGGGCAGGGCAATGGTAGGATCAGTAAAGGATGCATGTCTCGCTGAGGGATGAGCGAGGGAGGAAAACCTGGAGCAACCCAGGCTGGTCATCTGCAGGAGATGAGAGGCTCCAGAAGGCCTAGGGCTGGGTTCTGATGGAGCCCAGATCTGATGACAGTTGACAGGGTCACTCAGGCTGCTATAATGGGGTGGAGCTGCAGGGAGTCTGGGGGAGATAAGCGGAGGCTCAATGTGGGAGAGAGTAGGGGTCATACAATGCCTGTGGCAGGATTTATTCCATCTCCTCACCTTACAACTGGGAGCCATCTGCTCCTGCATGAGCTTCCACATGTATTTATCACATGCTATGGAGCCACTGCAGAAATGGTCCTAACACTGTTGAGAGACAGAGAAAACGCATGACACATCACAACTTCCACACCCTACGAGGGGGCCCCTGGAGCACAGAGAGGCTAAGGAATACCCCACAGTCACATAGCTTGTGGGTGGGAGGTGACCTGGCAGGCACCCCCTCTTCCACCACCTCGTGAGACAGCCCCTGACCAGGGGAGGGCCGAGTCAGGGTGCTGATGTTAGTTGCGATGCGGGACGGCCAGTCCTTCCAGGACTTGGATGCCACCATCCATTGACTCAAACACCATCTAAGGGGCATGATTTCAGGAAGGGCTGGACAAGGGAGATGTACTGGGGTGGAGAACTTTCTTGTACACAGTGTGAAGGGCAGATGAGTTGGTGCAGGGTGCTATTCTTGCTTTGCTTACTGTCTCATTTATTTCCACTCCTGTCTTTATTATTTCTTCATTCTTCTTTCTTTGAGTTTACTCTGTTATACTTTTGTCAACATTTTAATTTAGAGTTTGGATCACTAAGTTTCAACCTTTCCATTTTCTGATATAAGCCTTCAAGGCTATGAATTTCTCTCAAAATACCATGTAGGCTGAATTCCACAACTTTTAACAGTTTTTTCCTTATTATTCAGTTCTAAGCATATTTTAATATATATCGTGATTTCTCCAAATCTGCTTTTAAATTTCCAAATACGTGGGGATGTTTTGTGAATCTTTCTGTTATTAATTTCTAAATTAATTGCATTGTGCTCAGACACCTATGCTACCTATTCTTTGAAGTGTGTGGAAATTTCTTTATGGATGAGTATCTGATCAATATATTTACATTTAATTTTTTATTTATGTGTATTACTAATTATTGATACAAAATTCTCCTTCTGTTCATTAGATTAGGCTTATATATCCTGTTCTTCAAATCTACAACTTTCTAATTTAACTCTGCTTGACCATGAGTAATAAAGAGATGTTTACATAATATCCCACCTAGATAGCATGTTAGTCCAATTTCCCCCACACAGTTGTACCAGCTCTTGTTTTATACATTCTGAACTATTTGCTGGGGTAGATACTTATTGAGAATTATCACATCTTCCCAGCAGCCTGAGGCATCTTCTCTCCTTTGTGGTACTTTTGCTCTTAAAGTACTTTTTGTCTGAAACAAGTACAGCTGCACTAGGTTTCTTCTGAGTTTGCCTGAGATATCTTCTGCAAACTTTTAACTTTCAACTCTGCAGTGACTTTAGAATGTAGGTATTTTTTTTTTCAAAACTTGCATAGGCCTGGAATATTTCACTCTGACAATCAGGCAGATTAATCAATTTATAATTGTTGTAAGTATTGATATGTTTGGTCTTGATTTTACTATCTTTTCCACTCTATTTGTCCCATTTTTAATGTTCATTTTTCTTCTATATTATCTTTTTATGGATTAATTTTAGCTTTTTTTTCTTATTCTACTTTTTTCTTTCTACATGTTTAGGACTTTAGTCTATTCCTTTAATAGTAGTATTTGAAATTCTACCATGCATATTTCAGTTCAAGTGCAAAGTTAAGCAATATCTCAACCCCCATTCTGAATATCACATGGATTTAAATCTTCCTTCTGCTGATTAATATGCTGTTAGTGCCCAATAGCTCATTTCTATCGCTTTAACCCACAAATTAGACATAATTACTGTTATTGTCATGATCGCCATTGCTATTTTCCCTTGTATTAATGTACACAGATATAGTCCCTTGTACTAATGTGCATGTCTAGTGTTTATTTGTTCATTATACTTTTTGGCATATACATCTTTCCTTTGAGGATCATTTAATTGATTTTCAAAAACACATCCTTCAGACATGCCCTTGAGAAGTTCTCCTGATAACTTCCACACTTTTGCAGGTCTATAAATGTCTTTCTTTTGCCCTCGCTCCCAAAAGAGTTGTCATGGGCCCAGTCAGGGAGCCGCAGCTGCGCCCCCGCCCTCGTCGCGTGGCTCCCTGACTGCATCCCGCTGAACTGACAGCTACCCTTCACTTCCTCCCTGGAAGTTACATCGTGTCCACCTATTTCTTGTGAAATATGCATCACTGTAAGTTGCATATGTCACTTTTAAAACATGTCTTACATAGCTGCCCTGTAATCCAACAGCTGCAACCTCTCTGGTGGGTGGGGCCTGAAGTTTCTGCTCGTTCTCACCTCACTCAGGGTGGGCTGCAGCCATGTTCCTAGTCTCCTCATTCACATTCTTAATGAGGTCTCCTCATTGAGATCAAGATGGCTTGATCTTAATCCGTGGGAGTTCTGAGATGCCCCCAAGCACATCTTCCTCCAGAGAAGGTTGCCTTCTACTGTTGTCCATGGCCAGGACAGAGGGTTGGGACTTCGAGCTGGGGTCCCAGGCATGGCCTCCCTTGCCTACTAGCCCCCTCACAGAGCACCTGGGCTCTGCCAGTGCTGGCGTCACCTGTTGGTCGTTGTAGGCCCTCTGGAGCCCCACCCCCATGTGGGTGATGGAAGAGCCCTGCAGCAGGACCAGCGGCAGATTGGGCTAGGTCAGAAAGAAGCTCTGCATGCTCTTGTTTTGAAAATGTTTTAAAAGCATGGTTCTTGCCATTTAGTGATAGAATGGCTTATGCTCAAAAATAGGCTGAACTCCCAGCTGCATAATAGGCGATGACATTTGCAGGACGACTAAATAGCCGTCCTGTCGATTTCATCTGTCCTGAGCATTCATGAGGCCTGCTCCCGCACCTGTTGGGGTCAAGCAAGGACGTGGAACTGCAGGGTGCACCCTTTCACTGGGGTGGACCAGAGGCCCCCAGATAGTAGTTGAGGGAGCCTGGGGCGTCACAGGTGACACACATGCTCTTGGGAGATGACATCTGAGACCTGTCCGAGATTTGCTGGTGTGCGGTGTTTGGCCAGCAACTGAGTGCACGGTGTCAAGGGCCACCGTGGCCGCCGGGTCCATGTGCTGGCCTCTCGCTGAAGCGGTGCTTCCCAGCTTCTCTTCATCAAGTGATGACTTGCTTAGAGGAGGTTAAACAAGTCACAGGTCTAGGCTGCCCCAGACACAGCACTGGCCCAGCCGCCCTGAGCTTCCCAGGCTGCGTCCTCACCATCCTCTCAGCCGAGACCTCTCACAGCTGCCAGCCAGTCATCAGCTTCTCGGTTCACTTCTAAATAAACCCTGTTTCCTTCACAGCTGCACCACTGGCTCATGGTGTAGAAGGGAGCGGAGAAGGAAGACCCTGGGCAGCTGCCCCACTGCAGGGGAGACATGAGCCAAGATGGCACACCTGAGCTCGGACAGACAGGAGGGCTGCTCTACTATTTAACTTCTGCTTCACTGGAAACACACAGGAGCTTGATCCTCTGACTGTTTACACCCTTGTGCCACGGGGAGAGGACCTGCTGTCCGTCCTGTGTCGCTGTATAACTTAGTAGATCTGTGCCCATTCCCGCAGGTAGAAAACATTGTGTTCTATTCATGTCATGCGGCTCCCCCAACGCTCTGCTGCCGTCCAGAGCACAGGTCTCACTCCAGCTGTGTGCCGAAAAGAAATACAGTAATTATAGGTGCACTCTGCGAGGGCCCCCGCGCTCACAACAGCTGCCCGAGTCATTTGTTTTGTTCATATTTAAAAAGCCAAACATCCTATTTTGCCTAATTGTGCAGAAGGTGAAGTGGAAGAAACCATGCAAAAGGTGATCAAGTTGGGTGGGGGGAGTTGCTCCTGTCTTCACATTACACACGCAGTCCATTCAGAGCCGCCAAGGGTAAGGGTTCCATGTGTGACGGGAATGCTATCTATTTCCTTAGAGCTGAGAAAAACAAACTCTGTGGAGTCTGTAGGGCTGCCACAATTCTTGTCTGATGTGGGCCCTGGTCAGCTCATGGTCACCTTGCCCTGGACCCCGAGCCCCGGGAGAAAGCACGCTCCCAGGGAGCAGGGGTGTGTCCCCAGCTGCTGAGGCCTGGCCATGCAGAACCCCAAAGGCAAGCAGCCTGAAGACCTCACCAGGCGCAGCCTTGAGCAGTGACCTTGGGAATAAGAACCTGCCAGAATTTTATTTCTCTCAGGCACATATCACATCAATAACAACACTTTTTAAGTTAGGGAATGGCTTTTTAAAATCATATTTACCTTTGAATCAAAACCAACTCTCAGAATGCAGGGTTGGTTTCTAAAAACCTGTTTGCTGGTGTTCCGGTTGTTGTTTATAAGAATATTAGTAAAAGCAAGAGAAGACTGTTGGCCAAGGACCGTCGGCCTGGAGGGAAAGTACCATGGGTCATCAGAATGCACTGGGCTGTTGGCAGTACATTCCACATAGCTCTGTGCTCTGCAGAGAAGTCCCACTGTGTGTGCTCACTGTGCAGAGTCCTCCCAGCATCTCCTGCAGTGGACTGTGGCCTCACGGGGTGTGGAATTTGCTGCTTGGGGGAAGGGAGAACTCTAGCCTGTCAGCTGGAGGTTGTCTGCTGTGTGGCCAAGAGGAATCAGGTCTGCCCTCCTTCTGGGGAGCATCGAAAGCTCCATGTAGAACACCAGTGTTGTCAATGTCTGTTTGTGTCCATCCATACTCAGCATCACCAACAATAAAAAATATATGCGGGAAAGACAACCACGGCTGTGTGGGCACATTTTTTGCTTGATATTCCTGTTTTTCTGGGCTAGCTGCCTTGGGCTCGCAGCTTCATTCTCTTATAGTTCTTCACCTGGCACTTTTCCAGCCCAGAGGGAGCACAGCCTGGGCCCTGAAGGTCTGCTGGGCTTAACCTGGACCCCCAAGGCCTGTGCCTCCTGGTTCCCTGGTGCCCATGGCTCAGGCCAACCTAACACTGTCCTGCCTGCTTCTCTTGAGGCTTCATCTGTCCCATCAGCTCTTCTGCAGCCTCTATGTGGCCAGACTCCAGCCACCGCTGCTGCCTGGGCCAAGTGCCTCTTCTAGAGACATGCTGCCAGAGTTGTAAGTGGCTTCCTGTCCTTGGTCCCTGAGGGTATTTCGTCTACTCGGGCCAAAGAGGTCCTTCTAGATACCAGTCAGCTCAGGCCACAGCTTAGAGGAGACCTCTGTGGTTTATCATTATACTTGGAATAAAAGCCTATTCTGTTAACCACATGGTCAGGGTGCCCGTCTCTCCTGCCAGACCTTCCAGCCCTGCCCCCAGCCAGGGTATCCTGCAGACTCACCCACATCAGGGCCTTCATGCCCCTACCCCTTCATGATCATTCTTGCCCCAGGTCCCCAGAGAACATCCTCACTTCCTTTGGATCTCATTTTCCCAGGGATCACGGGACTCACACAGAGTCTGCCCCTTTGGCTCCATCATCAATTCGGCCACATGCTGGTGAGCTATGCCTCAGCTTTCCAGTGCTTCCTGCTGCTGCTGCTTCCCTGGGGTGCTGCCGGCCTCATGGCTGTGACCTGCACCCCATTCTCGGCTCCACAGTGCCGCCACCTCTGTCAGCCATCAAACATACCCTGGGCTGGACACAGAACCTGCCCCAAGGGGACAAAGTGAGCTGATCTCCGCACTAATGTGATTCCTCTGCTCCCTGGTCTTGTGGTGCCTCAGAAACAGGTGTGGTCCACTTTGACCAACCATTCACAGCCTCACAGGACCCTGGCCTATTTTATCCCAGCTGTGTCCTCGCCCCAGGTGCAGTGTGAGCACCTGGAGGTCCCTGGGAGAGGTTCATGAAACAAAGGATATGTGGCCACAGCACCCACATAGAGGCTTCCTGGTGTCACATTCCAGGTGGGAAGAACTCCTGGCAGCCAAGCTGTTCTTTCCTGCATATCTTCCCACACAGGGACACATGTACATGTGCACACATCATGCATGCTGCCCATGTCACATGCATACACACATGCTGTGTGTCACACACATGCTGTATACCACACCCACACATGTGGATGCCTGCATGTACACATACGTACAAGCATGCACACCATGTATGCTTCATGTCACACACTTGCACACATATGCACACATATACACTTTCACACTGGGTCCACTGCAATCAGCAGAGATCCTTGTGGTGAGCTGGACACAGCCTGGGAGCTCCACAGCTCTCTGGACAGTCCCAAGGAGCAGTTCCGTGGAGCCAGGCCACCCCAGAACTCCTGAGGGTTGTTCTTAGCAGCCACTGTTACAGGGGGAGTGTTCTCAGTGTCCTGATCCCAAGCTTCTGGGCTGGGGTTCCTTCTAGGCAGCCAGGCAGCCAGCCACATGCTGCCCAGAACTGTTCCACAAATGGAAGTGACAAAGGGTTTACATCCTGAATATGTAAAGAACTCCTACAAATCAATAAGAGAAAGAGGGACAACCCAGTAGGAAAATGGGCAGGAATCTGAACAGGCACACAAGAGAAGACAGGTCCAAATGGCCAATGGCCCCCTGAAAAGATGCTCATCCTCATCAGTAATCCAGGACACGCAGGGCAAGCTACGATGTGACTCCACCTTGGTCCGCCACACCAGGCAGACTCAAGAGGTCAGACACTCCCCACGTTGATGAGCAGGCCAGGCAATGGGAACTCAAACACATTTCAAGCACGAGAGTAAATTATAGGAGACTTCAAAAGTGCTGTGTGTATGTCTGCAAGGTTAAACCACAGTAGCAAACGTTACAAGCTCCCTGTCAGGCATGTGGGATTTCTTTTGCCATCAGGTGTGGTACCCACTACAGGTGCACACAGCTCACACTTGGAACCACCTCAGGGGCTGCCTGAGTGACTGAGCCCCTAACCCAGAGACTCCCAGGGCTTGGGCTTAGGCCTGCTCAGGGATGGGGTCACCAATTGCCCACCACTGACTGTGTGCAAAAGCCCCACCCTGGCCTGTGCCCCAGAGCACCCTGGGGGCAGGGTGCCCCTGAAATCATGTCCATTCTTAGCCCCTCTCCTCCTTACCCTATTTATTTCCCATTTTCTCCTAAGGTCCCCCTCCACTGAAGCAAGGGAACCCTTATTTCAGGCTCTGCTTCTCAGGACTTCCAGCCTATGGATAAGTACACCCACAAACACAACTCCACCTCCAACCATGTGCCCAGCAGAGCACTCACACATGTTTGTCACAACTCACTCATGATAGTTCATGAACGGAACACAGAAACTACAAGATCGCTGGTGAACACGGGGTGAGTACATTTCAGCTGGTAAGGGAGGACCTGTTAACAGATGGTATTGACTTTTGCAAGACACTAGGGGTTAACTTCTATGCCCCAGCAAGAGACAGTGAAGTCCTAACCCCTGGCACTTCATTGGAAATATATCATTACTATTATGTTAGCACAGTATCAAAGGATATACAAGAGCATCAGAGTATAGTATTAGAGGAGATATTAGAGTATTAGAGGACAGATAGTATGAGAGTTCTTGTTGCTCCACAAATTCACTAACATAAGTTGTCATCTTTTACATGTTAGCTGTTGTGGATGTGCAGTGGTATTCTCACACAGGAAATATATTTAATGGAATGTAATTAGTTAAGATGAGGTCATACCGCTGTGGGGAAGGTTTAATCCAATATGACTGGTGATCTTATAAGAAGAGGAGAACCCTGGCCAGGTAGGGCAGTTGGTTAGAGCATTGACCTGAATTGTCAAGGTTGCAGATTTGACCCCTGGTGGGAGCACATACAAGAAGCAACCAATGAATGCATAGATAAGCGAGACAACAAATCTCTCTCTCAAATCAATATTAAAAAGAAAAAAAAAAAGGAGAGAGACACAGAGACTCGGTGGGGAGGCCATGTGATGACCAAGGGAGGCAACTCCAAGCCCATAATGCCCCAGATTACCAGTTACCTCCCGAAGTTCAGAGAGAGGCACGGGACAGTCTCAGGGCCCTGAGGAAGGAGCCAGCCCTTTCAACAGCCTGACTTCAGACTCAGATGCCAGAACTGTGGAGTAAAAATAGTAAATTTTTTAAAGGTAAATAAAATAAATTTCTGTTGTGTTAAGCCCCTCACCTCACCAAGGCTGTGGTGCTTTGTTGCAGCAGCATCAGGAAACTAACACAGTCGAGCCTGCTGGGCATATTAGAGAGAGTGGATCCACCCGAAGCGGAATTCAGGTCCCTAATACCACAGTCCAGGCTCCAACCTAATCGGACACATCTCCAAATTCCTGAGCCTCCCACCTGTTCCTATATAGGACAATCTCCTTTCCACTCTCGTCCCCCACTTTCCAACCACTGACTCCTCACCATTCCAGCTTCTCTTGGACATAACCTCTGGATCAGCCTGCTCCAGCCCCCACTTCTGTGTACTGGCCCCTGTCAGTGCTCCTTGAATGCCCAGTCTCCCCAGGTGTCACATAAAAGGGGGAGTGTTCATCTCTCCTGGGAGCTCCCCGGGAGCAGGGCCTGAGCTGGTCCCATTCACTTCTACCAGTGTCTTGAATAGTCTCAGTACACAGTAGAAAATGTCACATATATATTTGTAGATGGGTGAATTAATGTGTGAATATTTAGATGCATACGTTAGCAAATGAATAAGTGGGTGTTTGGTGAGTAGATGGGTGGATGGATGAAAAAAAGGTAATTGGGTGGATAGAAAGAGAAAAGAGAAAGGGAGGAAGAAAGGGAAGGGTAAAAGAATGGATGTTGTGTGGATGATGGATTATGAATGGATAGATGATGGAGGGATGGATGAATGGATGGATGGATATATGGATGGATGGTTGATGGGCAGGCAGGTGGTTGGGTTGATGAATGGATGATAAATGGATGGATGGATGAATAAATGGTGGAAGGATGGATAATAGATGGATGGGTGGGTGGAAGGGTAGATAGAGGGGTAGTTGGATAGATGAACAGGTAGGTGGGTGGATGGAAGTTCCTGTGTTACATCTAAAAGTCTGTCATTCTGGCCCAATATCAGATCTCCCTGGGGGGCTACACATAGGAATGCTGTGTTTGCTATTTGTTCTCCAAGGAGATGGCAGGCTCTTTAATACTGTCCATTTCAGAACACCTGAAGAAGTGTTTTCTTCTCGTGCCAGCATGTGCAGAGACCAAGGTCCCTGGGAGGGAGAGCCTGCCTGTGCCCCCAACTTCTGTAGAGTTGGAGGTCTCAGCCCTCTGTCCACCCTGCACTTTACCATCGCATTTATGCTATTTGCCGAGTGACCTTTAGACACGAAGTCTGTGAGTTAAACCCCAGAAAAGCCATGCGATTTTCCTTTGAGAGAAGCATTTTAATAAAGGTTTGGCAACAGTGAAATCGGTGATTTAAAGGGTAAATAGATTCCTCTGCTTTGGCTTTTTTGATTTTTTACTCTCCAATCCTCCTTTAATCTTTAGAGATGCATCTGACCAGCCCAAAGTTCACAGACTCCTGATTATTGGCAGCAGAGAAAAAGGTCACCTTTTTTGAGACAGTTAATTATCAAGTCCTATGTTCAGTTGTCCCCAAGGACAATGCTGCCGCGCCGTAATCTACCTGCTCCTCTCCTCCTTCCAAGGAGCCTCAAGGTCACAAACGCCACTTGCATGGCCACGATTCCAATGGAGAAGGCTGAGGCACTGAGCCCTCTTCACAGACCAGCGTCCTTCAGACCAACCCCAGTGTGCGTGATGACTGGCTGCCCGGAAGGCTCCCCTGGAGCTGGGAAGACAAACGTGAGCAGACAGCTGCACATGGGCTTCCACCCCTCCGGCCCACCCCCGCCCCCGCCTGCCAGGCAGCTGGGGGATGGTGGGCAGGCTGCCTAACTGCTTCCTGGGGCCCCATGCCTCCTAGCCAAAGAGCCTCTGTCCTGGACCGGGACCTGCAGTGTTTGGTGTCATCACACAAAATGGAAGAAGTCAGAGTGCTTCAGTTTACTGTGTCTGGCTTGGTACTTTAACAAAATTTAGCAAAATAGAATATATCAAAGTTAGTGCACCTGGGAAGGGCACGTTCTGTTTTGTGAAACATGTGTTTCAGGTGTGAGAGGGGAAGATGCTATAAAACAGGCGCTCGCAGGTCAGGGTCAAAGACTTGGGGCCTTGCCCTGCATAGGGTGAGTGACCACTCCAGTCTGCCTGGCAGTGGAGTCCCCAGCCCCTGCGTCCCCTGACTCTGTCCCTCTGTGAAGACCAGTGGATGCATCCCTGAGTTCTGGAGGAGTAAGGCCCAGGACAGGTAAGTCTAAGAAGGGGCCACCGTGTCCCCAGGAAGAATGTAGCACTGGGGCATTTGAGGAGCACAGACCTCGCTTGTCCCACGGTGTCCCCGGGGCAGCTACAGAAGGTATGTCACAATAGAAGAGAATAGTGTCCAGTGAACTGGAGGTGCTAAGTGACCCCTGTTTGCCTGTTCAAGACACATCACAGCCCTTAGTGCGCTAATGTACACTGCTGCCTGCGGTGGGAACCAAGGGCCCCAGCAGGGGTCAGCGCCCCGGGTCACTGGCACCAGGGCACACCGGCCAGGTGTGGGCAGGAAACAGAAATGAGTGCAGACTCTAGGAAATTCCACCCTGAGCAGCAAGCAGTCCCCTTCCCTTTCTCAGGAAGGGCGGTGTGCACTCAGGAGGC